ACACTTATATTAGGCCTACAGTCTAAACACGTTAAATGTACAAAAACGGAGTACATGTAGTGTATTTCTAACTGTGTGTTCATAAAGGGTTATAGTAACCAAAGGATGCAAGTAAAATAGCCATACATATTTCTAAATAGTAGTAGTTGCAGTCTTTGAGGGGCGGAGGTGTGTTTATGAATGTTCACAGTTGTTTTAATGTACTATGTGGTTGGACAGAGATGGAAGTGATGGAGGCCACAGCTCTGGGATAGAAACTGTTCCTCAGTCTGTTGGTGTGTGATTGATTTTATTGTCCTGAACCGTTTGCCAGATGGAAGTGAGTCAAACAGTGAGTGTCCGGGGTGTGTGTTGTCTCTAATAATGCTGCTTTTGATTTACATTACATGTTACTTGTTGTTAGACGCTTTTATCCAAAGTGACTTACATACTCAATACTGTGGGCAATCCCCACAGGAGCAATTTGGGGTGAAGTGTCTTGTCCAGGGACACAACGACATGCTGACTGCAGTGATTATGAACCTGTGACCCCTTGATCCGAACACCAACGCTCTATCCACTGCGCCACACGCCTCCGTTTAACCACTAAGTGTATATTTTTGTCCAATCTAAAATAACAGACGTAACCACACACACATTGGGCAATGGATGCAAACATTTGTTTATCTTTTGGGATGGTCTGAAATCAAATCCACTGCAGTACCCTCCAGTCCACTGGGGGCGGTAGAGGGGTCTGTAGTGACGTTGTTTACCCTTTAAAACGTTTGGATCTTGCAGGAACTTGCAGGATGACAAAGTTGACAAGCTTTTTGACGGAATGCACACAAATATCTTAAGCCTTTAAAAAGGTATGAAAGTAAAAAGTTCCTCTTACTTATTATTTTCTGTGGGAAGATATCGTCATACATGTACATGCCACATTGTGTCATTTATCCAGCGAACCGTGTTAATGCTGAGCGCCAAATTTGAAATGAGAGCTCAGCTAACCATGTTTGTTATAGCTAGCAAACTTCTACAAGTTAATGTCAGCTTGAGTACATTTAATGTCGCTGCTAAAGTAAGCACAGATATATGTATACTCTCTGTTTGTCATTGCTGGGTGTCGACATATAGCTAGCTTGACTTTACCTCGGATAACTTGGCGTTTTTCCAACTGACTGACCACAATTTAAGGTTATTTTCTATGTTATTTTCTATTTAACGTTGACGTTAGAATTGAACGGTTCAAGATTCAAAGGCTTGCCATAAGCACAGTAGCTCCAGTGTTGTAATGGCAATGAAAGTCCCAGTCTCCTCCAACAATGCTACATAAATATATATAAGAAGTAAAATACATTTAAAAAAACAACACAATTGGTGCAAGAAATAACACAATAGAAATACAATAATGCAAGAAAATATTGCAAGACTAATGTACAAGTAGTGCAGGACAAATGGGATTTATACATGTAAAACATAAGATTGAGCTAAACTTAGAATGCAGAATTAAATTCTGCTTATTGTAATAATAAATAATAAATACATTTGTGAGATGGTTCAGCTTTGATGTAACGCTAACTTATTAAAACCATTTTTCAACAGATGATGCGAAGACCTCAGACAACAACTGCCAAAGTTGTTGAGAACAACACGGACTCCGACTTGTAAGTCATTTTTCAATCATTCATTTATCTTTCAATAATTTCACAATGCGTTTCTGCAAAAACGGCATATTGATGTTCATTGTCACAGGTTTCCGTTGGGGTTTACCTTTGCTGTTTTTTTTTTGTTGAGATGATGATGTTAACTGATAGTCATACCAGCATTGTAAAGAAAAATAGAAAATGTAATCCATTAGAGACACTAGCCTGTATTTATAACGTTGGAGATGAACAGGCAAACCCTGGGAAAATATTGAATGATTTTCCACTTGTTCCACATTTCTCTTTTTGTACTTCAGGTCCACCATACTGATAAGTGATGAGGATAGTGATGAATGGACACCAGCAGAGCCAAAACTTAAAGCTCCCACTACTACGGCGCGAGCTCCTGCAGTACCCGGGGAGAAGAAAGCAGCTCCCAAGAGAACTGCTAAACCAAAGGAGCCAAAAGCACCCAAACCTCCTAAACCTCCTAAAGAGCCTAAAGTTCCTAAGCCAAGAGCACCACGTAAAACTGCAGCAGAGCGAAAAACACAGGCCTCGAAAGTTGTGAAGGGTTCCAGGACATCTGTGTTGGCTGGAACAAAAAGGAAACATATTGATGAAGGCACAAATGATGACAAGGCTGCAGAAAAGAAAGAAGAAAAACACACAGACTGTGGGCCAAGTACCAAAATGAAGAAAGAGGTAAGATACCCATTATAGAATTATTATGAGTTTTTATTCTCTTTGCAACACCTACATACTGCAAAGCTCTCTTTCATGACTTGTGCTACTTGTTTCTTGCAGAGGGTATCATTCATCGTGTCAGAAGCGAATCAAGAGGACATGTGGGCAGGCGAGGGGTCATCACTCGCTGGACTTATAGCAAAGAAAGAGGAAGTGGAGGATTTCACATTTGATGAGCCTTGTCTAAAGAAACAGAAGACCGGTGGTGCCTCCCTGGGACAACCAAGTGCTTTACCATCGTCCACAGCAAACACTCTGAGGAATGAACTCAATATGAACTGGGACTTCATAGAGGTAATGTAGGGTTTGTCTTTGTATTTTTATTTGTTAGAAAGTGTTTTATATTTTGGTCAGATGGTGGAAGCAGTGACTGGCTAACAAAACACCAGTGCTCATCCATATTTCTACCTGTGTTCGCAAAACTTAACAAACTCAGTTAAAAAGACACACTAATCAACAGGGTTCTTACGGTCATTAAAAACCTGGAAAAGTCATGGAAATTCAAAATGCTAATTCCAGGCCCTGGAAAAGTTATGGAAAACAATATTTTTCCCAAAGTTTTGGAAAAGTCATGGAAATGTAACTTAAGTTGAATCAAATATCATTTATATTTTATCTAATCGCCGAAATAGTAATACTATAATAATACTGTATTGTATAGAAATGAAATGGCATTTAACTGTCGAGGTGTTTTGCTGGTGAGAGATTTTAGTTGCTTTAGTGTGTAGAAGCTAGTAAGCCAACTATTTGATTTGTTTTAGATAGACAGAACATGTTTCATATGCAGACCTTATTTTCCTGTTCCATGTTAAAATAAACCATTTTCAGTTGTACCGCTGAGAAAGAGTAATTTTTTTGGTCATGGAAAATTAGGTAAAGGTCATGGAGAAGTCATGGAAAAGTCATTGAAAATTATTGGTGAAGAAGTGTATGAACCCTGAATCAATCAATCTACAACTTTATTAATCCCGCAAGGGGCAATTGGCTATGAGCAGCTTATGTCATGTACACAGGCAGGAACATACAGGAAGAAAACACACAGATACACCCGGGAGCACAGATGTGGATCATTCCAAT